GGGATTCCTGTAATAGTCTTTCTCCTTTTGACTTTCTTCGGCCGTCTTACCACCGTGTCTGTGTAAATTAGAGACCGCCGAATGCTGGCTTGGCGGTCGAAATTCTCCCCTAATACATGGTAGAACAAGCAAAGCAACATTACTTTCAAGCACGCTGACATCATGCACTTTCTTCCACCAGTTTTGTTGTAGAAATGGAAAAAAAGGCATTAATAAATGATGTTAGCTTGGTCCTACAATGAAGGTTTACACTGAAGGAAGATACGGCATATTGTCACAGTAAGGCTTTAGACACACGTATCCATTACACAGTACTGCAGGTTTTAAAAGGAATTTTGACTTCCTCAGCCCAGTTCAGATCTGGTGAGGGCAGCTCTAAGTCCACAAGTGAACAGAATCCTTGCTTTAATTTGGCCCTCTGTGCTTTTTTTGTGTGGTTTTGTTGTTTTAAAGTAATGAGCTGCAGAAAAAGCAAATCTGCTCATGAAAATGAAAGATCACAACGGTTTATGCAGGAACAGACATTGCTATTGGCAACAGCTATTACAATGTCTTTGCGCAGCTCCATCATTAAATCACACGAGATGCTTCTTTGACATTCCAAGTCGCTCTGAACCTGTCAAGTGTACCACATTTCTGGTGGTGATCTTTTAACATGAATACAAATAAGTACTATGGAGCATGCAGAGATCAAACTGATCTTGTGGTCTCATAAATATTTCAGTCAGAGCACAAGCTGCTTAAAATTAAAACTTTATAAGTGATTATAAAAATATACAATGGCAAGAGTGGAAAAAAAAATGTGCGTGTAAGTGCATGTTGCCAGACAAAGCCTTATGATGACCATGTGCTGTATCATAATAGGACCCAGAAGCACCACTATCATTAAGCAGCTTTTCTTTAGGAATTCAGGTCTGTTTAGAGGTTTATAATTTGGCCATTTTACTAGTAGCAAGATAAAACTTGCCCTACAGATTGTGAGCTGAGTTAATTCTCTGCCATTTCTAAAAACCTAATGACTACCTCTCGTATCTCACACATAAGTTCCCTTTTTAGAAGGTGAAGCATTTTAAAGCACTGCTAAATGTCCTTTAGATGACCCATTTAAAACTTAAATGCAGAAAAAACCTGATAAACGTGTATATTTTTTGCCTTGGATGCTTTTTTTGAAAATTCATGACCAAATTATTTACCTCTAAAAAGTGATTAATGCACAGTAACTAATCCATCATAAATATTACCCCTGGCTGACTGCACATCGGTATGATGTGTGTCGTGCAAATAGCATAGAAAACCTCATTACCTCTGTAACAGTTAAAAGATACAGTCATATATTAAAGTATAGCATGTGGACTTGTGAAAATGCAAGTTAAAAACATAGCAGTTTCATTCACCATATTGTAAATATAAAGACTCTGACTCTGTTTGACCGGAGCCTTGTGCTCCCACGAGCAGCATTTGTGCTAAGCAGAATCCTTGCAGCTACAAAGAAGTGCCAGTTTCATCCAAGTATTGGCCTGATTGAAGTCAGGGCAGATTAAGGGAGGAAGAAGTCCATGGGATCTATAAAATTTAGAGCTATGGATCCCACCGGCTTAGTAGAAGCCCTGAAATACTGCGACAGACTATGCACTGTCTGGGGCATTCCCCCTATCAGGACGTTAGGACCCTTATGGGGTCAGTGTCGGGACTATTAGATAATCCTGTCATGCAGGATAATAATAATTCTAGCCACATTATAACAAATCCAGAGAATTTGTAGGAGAAAGTTTTGCATCTCTGAACATATCTTTATCCATTCAAAGGCCAACAATTATGCTTGAGACAGTGAGTTGCAGCGAAATTAAAACAGAGCTTTGAATGCCCTGGAACCAAATGTAAATGGTAAGCAGAGGGTGCAAACAAGGAGAGAGTCTTTTACGTGAAGCCTCAGACAGCACAAACAGGATGACCATGGGGAAACGTTACCGTGTCAGCTGACCCACAGTAACTTCTTCCCCTGAGCTACCCAAGAGCTAACTCAACCAATCCATCTTCCATGGCTTTGGATACACAAAGGCTTTTTCAAAGCCATTGTGCAAATTTGTAGAATTTCAAAGCAGCAACTTCAATAAATTCCAACAAGCAAAATCAGAACGTCTCAGTCTTTTTTCCCTTCTTCATTGTCTTTTTTTTTTTTTTAGAAAATATCAGTGTTAACGTTAAATATGTTTTGCAGATTTAAGGATACTTTTCTCCTTCTGTTACAGGTTTGTAACAAATCATCTAGGCATTCCTTATACAGTTTACTCAGTTTTCCCTCATGCAGTCTACTGAGTTTCCTTGGATTCACGGAAAATATTTAAGTATGTGCTTAAATCTCACTGAAGTCAGTCAAGCCGGACTCAAGCAAATGCTTAAATGTTTTGCAGGATCCAGCCTGGCGCTGATCACCTCCACCATCACCAGACTCCTCCATCTGGAAAGAAAGTTAGTTCTGGAAAACCCACAAAGGCAGACACCATTATATATCTTTTAACCCCCAGGATATATGAAAGTAAAGACTGGCCACCACTGAAAATTCAGCCCAACCCCTTCCAGGCCAGAATAAGCTTAGCCCAAGCACTCCCAAAGACTGAAACTGCTTCCAAATCTGGATGTCTAGTCAGCAGCTTGTCAGCCTAATGCAATGCCCCTGTACCTTCAGGCTATCCAACAGATTTTTACTACTACTATATTAGTTGCAATCTGTTCACCGAAGAGCCCCCAAAGCTGAACTTGTGGAGCATTTATTGCACAGCCACGTGAGAGGCCATTGTAGCAGAACCATTACTAATGCACTGCTGAAAACACTGCCAATTGCCAGCAGCCTCCTCAGAGGTTAACCTTTTATTTCACGCCAGGAGTCATAAAATGGAAGTTTTTTGACCTCTTCTGGGAGAGTGAGAAAAAGAGCAAGCGAAGGAAAAAGCCAAATCAAAACAAAAACGGGCGATGGTTTGTTCCACAGCACATTGAACAAACGGCAGAGAATTTTTGGATGTTTTTTTCCTGCCTCATGCAGTAACATAAGGAACTTCACAAAATAAAATTACTTCGTGTGTGGGAGGGCAGAGGAGGGGAGCAGATTGTGACTTTTTAAAGAGGAACAAGGACAGCAGCTTTTTTTGTGTGTGGCTCATAGTCTGTTACTGTCGCTTGCCTTGTTTCACACTAGCAATGTAACTATGCCAAGGGAAAGGAAACGGTGGATCCCAGAGACCCGTCCACACACTGCAACAGCAGTCGTCTTTTACTGCCCTCCCTTTCTATCCCTTCCGATTACCACCTTTGTAAGGGAACAAATGCTCAACAGCACACTCCAGAAAGTGTAATATGCACGTGCGCTATTTTTATCTCAGAAGTTGAGAACTGCCGAGTTTGCTGAGTGCAAACCAAACAATGCAGGGGACACAAGGTTTGCTACACCAGTCAAATTAAGCTGAAGTCACAAGTGTAATTTATCCAAACACGGCAACGTTCCCAGTGACTCTGAATTAAATCAATGAGGGTTATTTGATCTCTTTTACCTCATTTTTCTTTCCATCTGTTTACTTCCCCCATATATTTTTGGTACGCAGGGTCATTAAATCGAACAGCGGATTACTCTTTCTGTAAGTATACCCTGTTCCTGCTGTAGCAATATCTAAGCCCTGCTCAAGCTTATTGATTATTTCAGATTATCTGTTCCCATAACTCGGCCTTCTGCCCCTGTATCCTACATTCCCTAGATAATGCCAACCGGCCTAATAACATTTCAGCATTGCATTTATTTTCCTTCTATTAATTTTCCAGAGGTGAGGTGATCGTAATTTTCTATTGTCTTCATGCTATTTATTTCAAATATTTTCTGCTGTTTGAGGAAAAGTTTCTTGTTGATTTCTCAGAGCTCTCTGATGTTTGTCACAGAAGTACTGCTCCTATAATATTTAAATATTATTAAATAATACTATTTAAAATACTAGATTATAAAAATACAGGT